TGGAACTCGTAAATTTACTTACTTTGTCATTGGACATTTGCAAAATTATTTTGTTAAAACACATTCTGATTGCACACATAAGTACTCTGAAGTTGACGTAAAAAAAGATGCCTGAGTTTCTGATTTACAATATCTATGTGGTTTTTGGATACCAGGTCTTCCAACAACCTGTTGGAATTCCCATGGGTACCATTTGCGCTCCGTTATTAGCAGACCTATTCTTATATTCATATGAAGCAGAATTTGGGCAAAAACGATTTGTCCGTTTATAGAAACTTTTTTGTTGAAACGCAGGTAGCAAAATCCGATGATAATCAGCATGCACTAAATTTGGCTGGTTAACTGTGACCTCTTAGCTTCGAACCTCGGAAATATTAATCCTTAGTACTGTAATGCCTGACGCCGTGACATCAGGCAACTAAAAAGTTTAATTATTTATAATTGACTTGTACGATGTTGTGTTTTAAGGACAGGTAACTCATGTGTGAAAAATGACCAACTAAGTGCCGATTTATGAGTTATCGTTTATAGGAATAACATATAGGCTGCTTCAGCATTGGTATTGTTTTAAAAGTACACAAAAGGGTTCCTTACATTGTTTTGCATACAAAAGTGTTGACCAAAGGAAGAAGAATGTCTTCACTCTACCTGAAATAACAGGGTCAAATGAATGGGGAACAGATTATATTCAATATTTATACCCCCACTTGAAAAAAGGGAGGATATACTGTAATCGGTATGTCCGTCCATCCGTCCGTCTGTTACGCTTTAGGGTACCCATCTCTTAACCGCAACTCCTCTTATACCACTGAGTGAAATTTAATTAAACTTTCACAGAATCTCTATTACATATTGCCATTGTGCACCTCCTATTTTTCTTTTTGATCCGACACATGAAATATGGTTTCCCGGCCACAGCAAAACATGGACTTTGCCATTATAACCATATGGGAGGCGGGAGGTATCATCTCGGAAAGTGCTTGGGAAATAGTATGCAAAATTACAGATTGGACATTTAATTAAAATACATGTATAAGAATCGTATTAATATAAAGATAAATTGTTAATTTACCAGAAGGAGAAGAAAGTTAGTCTCTAAAATAAGGTCTGATTGTCAAAATGGCAGATCAACATAATTAAATACATCTAAACTGATCAACCTCTGGACAAAGCATGTCCAGAAAACCAAGAACCTTCGGGGGGGGGGGGGGTGCACCAATGACCTAAGGCCATTTCTACCTAAACACACTCATTGACAGACCATGGGTGGGGAATGTACACAAAAAGCTTTAAACTGAATTATTATTTTATTTAATATGTGCATTTCAAATATAATAAATGACAATTACAATACATGTAAATAATACATACATGTATGCAAAGCAAATTTAATAAAATGTGTATCTGCCACACTGTTTAATGAGGAATGCCACACCAACTTTTATTTTCTAGATATCTGAGTCAACCTTTTTAAACAACGGTTTCAGCATTGAAAGGCCGACATTAGCTCTTAATTATTTTATATGAATTTTTCTGTATTTTTTCAAAGAAAATTCAAAAAATTATTTACATCCAAATTAGTTGCTTTCTTGTAAAAATTTTGCCGTGAATGAATGCATCACATGAATACCTAATAAAATATGTAAGGAAAAGTCGTATAGATATTATTTTTTTATATTAAAAAAATATTTATGAAAATAAAACACATAATTTGTGAATATTTTTTAAACTTATGGTTAAAATCTTCTTAAAACCAGTAACAACTTGGGAGAACATGTTCATTGATCATATTTATAAAAGAAATTGAAACGAAATAGCCAAATTTTAGAGATTTTTTATTTTTTTATTTTGGCCAATCCCGATCAAAATTAAACCGATCCCAGCCATAATTGTACAATTGTTGGAAATAAATAACATTTCCCAAAGAACACTAGTCTGATTAAGTGTTATAAGGGTTAAAACATTATTGAACCTGACAATAAAATAGATTTCTTAATTGTAAATACATGAAGAGGCAATAAATTAGCATTTTATTCATTTTGTGTTATTTTGATCGGGATCAGTTTAATATTGATCGGGTTAGGTCCAATATAATTAATTTCTCTAAAATTTCTCAATTTCTTTAAAAAAAAATGTTAAAAAGTCTAACCTATGGAATGCCAAATACGACAGCCAAATGCTTACTGCCAATTGCTGACTGCTTACTGCCAACTGTCAGCTGCTAACTGCCAACTTATTTGAACAATTTTGAATTTTCAAAAAAAAAAAAAAAAAAAAAAAAAAAAACAGGCGCGGATCCATGACATTTTTCCAAGAGGGTCATCCTGGTAAAATTATTAAATGACCAATATGTTTTATCTTACGAAATATTCAATATATGCGATTGATTAAGTAAATGCATTGTTTATTTTTTTATTTGTTTTCTTAGTTGAAATAGGTAATAAAATGACTATTTTCTGCTTTAAATCTTTAAAGAAGTAACACTCCCCCCCCCCCCGGAGGCAACAAAACATTTGAAGAGAGAAAAATAAAAAAAAATTGTGGTTTCGCAAAGAGAGATGTTTTGAAAATAAATTTACATTTTCCAATATACTCTATAGTTAAAAATTTCCTCAAATTAAAGATTTATACCTCTGTGTGTTATACAGTTTCACATGCATAGATCTTTGGGGGGTGGGGGGGGTGGCATTTAAAATTTGTACAGTCATGGGTTAATGTATTTATAAACTAAACGAACTAAAACTGACCTTGGACCCCCACTTAGAAAACGCCTATCAAACATTTAATATATCTCTTTGTTTTTACAAATAAGATATGTTTTACATGCATAGATCTAGACAGATCATCCCTCTAAAATTTGTAAAGTTATTTAATGCACAAACTAAACCAACTAAATGTTATTTAATGTATAAATTAAATCAACTAAAAGGGACCTTAGAACCCCCACCCCCACCCCCCTGAAAACGCGAATTCGTGTTCAGTTGGTATAAAAAATGTCATAAACATGAAGGTACGACGCATAATAACCCCCTCTCCCCGGAAGAAATAATTTTTCACATTTAGGAAAGGACTTTACGTTTTATTTTCTTGTCAAGAAATTTCTGGGCTTGATTTTTTTTTTTCCAGAACATCTTTCTTGCGAAAAATGTCCTAGATCCGCGCCTGTTTTTTGTTTGTTTGTTTTGTTTTGTTTTTTGTTTGTTTGTTTTTGTGTGTGTGAAAATTTACATAAATATCAATATAAAAATAAAATTTATTCAAGTTTGTGTAGCATTTCAGCTGAAGTTGGAAAACAAATAAAAAAAAAATAAAACAATGGAATGCTTTTTCAGCCGCATATATTGAATATTACCTGCCACACATAAAACATTTTTATATTGTCATTTTATTCAAAAAAAAACAAAAAACAAAAACAAAACCAATCTTGGAAAAAATGTCCGGATCCAGGACATTTTTTTCCAAGAGGGTTACCCTGGTAAAATTGAATTGATTAAATTCATATAAATATTTGTTCAATATCTGCAAATATAAAATTTTTTATTTGTTTTCTGATTTGAAATATGTGTAAAATGACTATTTTCTGCTTTTAATCTTTAGAGAAGCAGCCCAACCCCCGACAACAAAACCTTTGGAGAGAAAAATGAAAAAAAAAAGAAGTTTGTTGTTTTGAAGGGAGATGTTTTAAAAAGTTTACATTTTCCATATATTCTACAGCTAAAAACTTCCTCAAATTAAAGATCCATATCTCTGTGTGTTATAATGTTTGTACAAAATCTTTGGGTGGGGGGATTTAAAATTTGTACAGTCATGGTTTAATGTATAAACTAAACGAACTAAAACTGATCTTAGACCCTCCACGGAAAACGCCAGTCAAACATTTATTTTTTTATTTTAAAAAAATATTTTTACATTCATAAATCTATAGAGAGGTCCGGACACATAAATTTGTAATATTTTTTAAACTTTTATGATTAAAATGGGTTGGGGCTTTACTTTATAAACCGCGAAGCGGTTTTATAACAAAGCTAAACTGTTCCAGAACATAAAATGTTCATTGATAATTTAATTTTCATTCATTTGATGTAAAAAAAATTTGAAACAAAATGACTTCAAATTTTACAAAATTTTTATTTTTTTACGTTTTTGACGTAAGTCATTGTGACGTAGGCAAATTTTATTAAACCCCCCCCTCCCAAAACGCCATAATTTGTACAATTGTCATAGACATGAAGGTAAATAACATTTCCCAAATAAATTTTCACATTAAGGAAAGATTAAGTGTTTTTTTTTTTTTTCCTTGTCATATATGGGTTAATTTTTTAACATTAGTGACCCTTTTGACAAAAAATGTTCTAGATTTCTTAATTGTAAATACATAAATATCAATATAAAAATGCAAATTATTCAAATTGTGTTATTTTGATCGCTGCTGACAGTTTAAGCATTGAGTTGGGTTAAGCAGCTGGCTGTCAATATAATTAATTTCTCTAAAATTTCTTTACATATTTTATAACATATTGATGCATTCAGTTACAGCAAACTTTTAACTGGAAAACAACTTATTTGGATATAAATTTCTTTTTTCATTTTCTTTGATAAAATATAAAAAAAAAATTAATATGAAATAAATAAGAGCTAATATCGGCCTTTCAGTGCTGAAACCATTGTTTAAAAAGGATGATTCAAAGATCTATAAATTAAAAGGTTGGTGTGGCATTCCACCTAAAGTACAAGACAAAATGACCCGTGGGTATCCGACGATGTATAAAACGATGAAAATGGTAGGGTTTTTTAAAAAGAAAAAATTACGGAAATCGGTATAGTTTTAGTTGCCAAAATTTTTATTTACAGCAGGTGTAGAGCAGGCCAGTCATCATATTAAAAATTGCAAAAAGGTCCTTCAACTTTTAAACTTTTGAATTAAACAGAGAATATATGAAGCGATTGAAGTTCAAAACTGAAAAAAAAACACAAACAAGCGTGTAAACGTGTATTAGAACATGGGATTTGAACAACATGGGGTCAAATCACCTAGACACCTCTTTGATAAATGTTATCAGGTTAATTGAACGCTTTTAATAGTACAAGATATATAGATACGTCAAACGTGTTAAAACGACGTTGATTGTTTTGGCCCAGAATCGAAATGACCATGATCACCTAAGCTAGATGTGATATTTTTCGTTTTTTGTGGGTTTTGTGCAGGCTATGATCAAAAATAATAATGATTCATTGTTTAAGGAAGGGCATTGCGCCAAATATTCATATTTTTCGCATGAAAGCTAACTTAACATGCATATTTAGCTTCTCAAACGTCCCCTTCAAAAACTACTACAAAATACTAAATATTGATGTTGATGCCTCTGCACAGGAAGTGAAAAATGCATACTTAAAGTTATCTAAAATATACCACCCAGACGTCAACCAGAACGAGGATGCGAAACGCGCTTTCCAGGAGATAACAGAGGCCTATACAGTGTTAGGAAGTGTGAGTGATAGAAAGCAGTATGACGACAATACATTAGTCTCTAGACTAAAGAAACGACGCCCTACACAGAAACGCCAAGAAAAAGACAGCGACCGAGCTACCTTTGAACAGGTTCATAGGGCTTTTAAGAAAAACCAGATTGATCAGGAGGAACTGTTCGCAGAATGGAGGAGGATAGATGACGAAAAGCGTCGAAGACATTTTGAGGAGAATATGTACATGGATCCGGATTTCAAAGACGAGAAAACTGGAAGACTAGATAATATATGGAAGGACATTTGGGACAGAGATAGAAAGTATTCCCAAGAGTCTGTTAAAAGTAAAATGAACTTGATGAAGTTTGGTTGTCAATTACTCTTTGCAGCACTGGTGTTAGCACTTATTTTCGAAAATATTGGATGAATACAATATGTACATTACATTCTACACATTTACCTGTAATATTGCCTGAAAGATACTTTAATTTATGAAAAGTAAATCAAGTAAAAAGTTAACATTCTGAACAGATTTGTGCCAAAG